ATTTATTATAGATTATAAGGATTTTATCGTTAAAAGAATTCTATTATTATATCTATTATATAATTCTATATTAATTTAATTTAACCGAACCGGTCATAAATTAATTGGCCAAGTTAATTACCAATCATAATTTAATAACATTGTTCTCACCTGTAAAAATTAATTTAATTTAATCGGCTGTGGAGATACCGAATGTAATCCAAAAATAAAATAATAGAACCCAGGTCTTGTTTATGATTGCCAGCAACATTTATTATAGATTATAAGGATTTTATCGTTAAAAGAATTCTATTATTATATCTATTATATAATTCTATATTAATTTAATTTAACCGAACCGGTCATAAATTAATTGGCCAAGTTAATTACCAATAAGAATTTAATAATATTGTTCTCACCTGTATAAAATTGGCTATTCACACAAGCAAATTGTTCTAAACGAGTTTTTTTTTTCAGTTTTTAAAAAACTTTTATATAATTTTGCACGATTCCCTACAGAAGTTTTATAAAAATTGTTATTTGTTCAGTTGTTCTGATTTATCACCATATTATCTTGTTTACCCCTTAAACTATATAATAATTTTGACCAATTGAATCATAGCCCATCATTATGTTATTAATAGTCTCAAATTATTCTAAAAATTATATCATAGGAACAACTATCACGTTATTCACACTAAATTTACTAATTTACCGTTAACATTATTTTCCCAATTAAGACTAACAAGTGGTTATTTTGTTTTCTAAACACAAGATCAACGAAAAATTAGTAAATCTTACACCGTGTTCCTTTAAAAGGATGATATTTTCATCAGCGTTATTGATAATGACATAATAAATTATAGTAGTACGTTTATGTAATTTTCCCAAAAAATTCTTAAAAATATTAAACTCAATGAGATTACTCATGCAATTCTACCTAATAATATTTTAAAAACTAAATTGGTTATTGAACTGATAAAACCAACAGTCCATTGGTTTCATGGGAATTTTTTATTATACTCCAGGACCTCCGTGGTCCTTTCACTCAAATATTGACACGTGTATTAATTTTTTTTCTTTCTTTTCTCTCTCCTCAATTTTTTTTCTCTTTCTCTCACCTCATTACTTTTACTCCCGGACCACTAAATCTTTGCTCGGTTTCACGATAGTGAAAACCGTGATCCAACCGGTGATGACTATATATATATATATATATATATATATATATATATATATATATATATATATAAAATGAAAAATAAAGCGACGGGATGGTCCAGTGCACTAAGTTCTCCCGGAAGAACATAATGCACAAAATATTATAATGGTGTTCTCTTGGAGAACTTAATGCACTAGGCCAAATTTTACATCCAGTCACTTTATACACACTCAACCCTGTATATATATATGGCTTATCGTTTCTCAAGCTGGTTGAGATAATTTTATCTCCGGTTAGGCGGTTACTAAATCATAACCGTACAAAGGTGGATAAATGGTGATAGAGATGGCAAAACGGGCTCAGCACGCCAGGACGCCCTGCCAAACAGGGCAGGGCAGGCTAAGTTTTCCAAACTCGCCGCCTGCCAAGCCCGCTAGCTCGCTCGGGCTGAATTTTTTAATTTTTTTTTTTCTTTTTTAGTGTAAAATCTCACGGGCTTGGCGGGCAGCCCGCCCCGCTGGCCCAAACGGCACTTTTTGGCGGGCTTATGACCGCACGGGCGGGGCGGGCCGGGCAGCCCGCTTTGCCATCCCTAAATGGTGATAAAGGAAGAGAGAAAAAAATAAAATCATAATCATTCAAAGGTGAATAAATTAATATAAGTAAATAAATAAACAAAACGACATAGTTTTAAATAGTGGAAGATAAATTTTTATCAAGTTGCCAGAGAAATGTTTTTTTCCATATATATATATAAGTTTGTCGGATGTACAATAATTGTATATAAGGATTGGTGCAGTTACACTATATACTACGGGTGGTATATGACTTTTTCTCTCTCTTCAAAAATATTATAATTATATATATATATATGAAAAAATGAAAATTCAGTCACTGGACCGTTCAGTGCACTAAGTTCTGGGAGAACTTAGTGCACTGAATATTATAATGGTGTTCTCCAGGTATTTTTCCGGGAGAACATAATTATAATAGTTACTATAATTGTATTCTCACGGGAGAACTTAGTGCACTAGACCGAATTTTGTATCCGATCACTGTACACTCACTAAACTTATATATATATATATATATATATATATATATGTATATACCAATCTTTAAATGTAGTTACATTACAAATTATTTTGTTATATATATGAATTTATTGTTTGTCATGTCACGTTGCCTAATATTATATCATGTAACATAAAATCTATGCCATTTTGGATGGGAGAAAACAAAATTTGTGTCGTTCGTGTTCAAATTTCAATTTTGTTTGTCCAGCTCAATTACTTTATGGGTGCATATTTTCTTATGTTGTAAGATAGTAGGAGAGAAAAAAAGTAGAGATAAGTTAAATGTGGATCCCACATTTTAAATTAAAAAAGAAAAGAAAAATTAATTAGCACGAAAAACGAATTTGTGTAGGAAAAAGTTCTTATCTCATGTAGAAGGAGATAATGATTTCCCTTTTTTTATTGAGTATTTAAAGTTACTTATTTTAACACTTTTACTTTTAATGGAATATAAATACATAAATAGATTATAATAAATAAAATGAAAATTTGAACGCAAATGAAAAGTTTTAATATTAACAAATAAATAAAATGAAAATTTACAACCCAAAACAATTTTTAAGTTGCGGGACAGAATTTTAGCTACAAACAATAAACCATTATATATATATATATATATATATATATATATTAAATATTAAGTAATAAAGTAATATAAAATTATAAAAAATAAATTAGTTAAAAAATTAAATTAACTTAAAATAATCATATTATATGTTTTACAGGATAAAAATTATTAATAACGAGTTTAATAGTAATAAATTTTTTTTTTTGGATACAAGATGAAAATATAAAAACAAACAGAAAAAATAAGAAAGAACAACCTAAGAGCCTAGGCCAGTGAATTCCTGTGAAGGGTTTTTAGTTAGTTAAAAGGTTTTAATAGTAATAATTGTATATACGTGTGTCTTCGTAATTAGACATTAAACTTTTTAATTAGTTAAAAGGTTTTTTAGTTAAATAAAAAAAAATTAAAAACGTTTCAAACTAATTTTTTTCATTAATTTTAAACCAATTTCAGGAGTTTCTCCCCAATTCTTTCATCATGCAATTTTTTTAGATTAGCCAATGTTTGGTGAAATTAACTTGTCTGGCCCCATTTTTTTATTAATGGTTAATGATGCATAATCATGACTGGGTGTTTGGGGTAGTTGTGCAAGCCTTTTTATTGTGTTGGACCATTGACAACATTGACTGTTTGTCGTTATTGTAAAAGTGCTATTTATCATTTCACCACTCACCAGCCACTTAAACCTGCTACTCATTGCCCCCACCTTCCCAAATATCATTCTCCAAAATAATGTAAATTAATGATTCTATCTACTTCATATTTAGTTGTATGATTATACGCTCAAGTTGTTAATGATAAACTTGATACATTTTTTATTATTAGATTTTATAATATATTTATAATTTAAAATTATCCAAACTTAAATTTATTCTCCAAAAAATGTAAACTAATAAATAGATCTACTTCAAGCCCCTTGTCCTTTTAATTGTTAATAATAAACTTGATAGTAATCTATTTTAAGTTTATAATACGTGTAATATAATTCTTAACGTTCGAATAACAAAACGTTTATATTGTTTTGTATTGTGTAAAAATAATTATCAATTCCTAATTTCTAAAACTCACACAACTTGAGTGTTGAAAACACTTAAAAATAACTTTTCCCTATTTCTTTTTTGAGAAGAAATAACTTTTTTCTTAAACTATATAAAAATAAGGACAAATGGTTTTTGCTTCAGTGACATAAAAAATTTTCTATGCCACTGAGATAAAATAATAGAGAGAGAAAATAATGAGAGAAAAAAGAGGATGAATTATGTCTTAGTAAAAGTAAAAATCATTTGCCCTATAAATAAATCCAAAATCAAAGGCAAGAGGGATTGACGATGTTTATTTGTATAATAGAAAATATTTTTTCATATTATTGAAGAAATTTTATTTTATTTATAGAATAAATATATGGACTTCCCATTTTATAAGAAAAATAAAAATAAAATAAAACTAAAAGAGTTTACATATTTATTTATACTAATTAATTATCCGTGCGACGGAGAATAGAAGAATTTGATTTATTTGTCTCATAAAAATAATACAAATGAAAAAATGAATTCGATTTGTTTATCTCTCCTAAAAAAATAAAAAATGAGAAAAGATGTATTGGATAATATGATATTAATAAGAGACATAAACTAATCACATAAAAAGGACCCACAAGGCAAGAGGCAACACGACCACGTCCATTTAATGAACCCACCTTTCCCTGAGGTAATGAACAGCATTTTCCGTTTCAACTGTACACCGTTATTTTCTCTGGGTCTCTCTCTCTCACTCTCACATTCACTCACCTTAGTGTGTGTAAGAGACGTTCCAATCCAGCATTTTTCTCTCACGCCTGCAGCTTCGGTTACAGCCACCGCAACAAATAGAGCCGTTGGGAATGGCCGTTGAAATCTCGTGTTCACCTCCAATGGCAGCCACTGGGTATTTTATTTTCCGCTCACATTCTCTATTCTCTAACTCTTAACTAGTACAAAATCACATCTTGCACTGTTTTTCCAAAGCTAATACTCACTCACTGTTTTTTTCTTTTTTCTTTTGCATTGGATGCTAATTTTAGCCAGTTGAGTAACATTTACTTCTGAAATCATAAACACAACCCATTTTCTCTGCTATCTCACACGGGCTCTATCTGTATTATCTCAGTTTATAGCATAGGAGCAGGTTGAAGGGTGTTTTTAACTCTCTTTTTTTTACGGGACAGAGAGGACATTCTTTGGTTAGATCTGCAAATAAGAGCCAAGTGAGTGGTCCTTGCTTTCAACTACGTTTTACTTCCAATAAATTTTGAATTTTCTCGATTTTCCCATCTTTACTGAAAAGTTACTACGGAATAAAAAGAGAAAAGATGCACAATATCTGGTAGAAGTTGGAACGCCCTGCTTTTATTTATTTACAGATTAAATTATGTTTCCTTTTTTTATATATAAAAAAAAGACTTAAAAAACACAACCTGCAAGCTCATTCTTTTATGCACAAGTTTCTCAGTGTCCGCTTCTACTTTCATCGACAATCTTCTAGGAATAAGATTTCCTTTTCCACCCTTTTCTCTCTTTTTCAGTTTTTTTTTCCCTTTTGTCTCAAGCTCTCTCCTTTCTTTCATTTTGATTTGGCAAGCGGGAAGCTTTGTGTATCTTTTGTTTAAACTAACATACTTGTGATTCATTTCAGTCTATGCAGTAAGGAAGCGGAAACACCTCGTTCCCTGCTCCTCGTGGAAGTTGAAAACTTGAAAATGGAATTTCTACGCATTTTCTCTTTCATTTATCTACTGAGTTTGATTCTCTGGCAAGGAAATGCTGAACCTGTTGAAGATAAGCAGGCTTTGCTTGACTTTGTGAACAAGTTCCCTCCTTCTCGGCCTCTGAATTGGAATGAGAGTTCCTCCGTGTGTGCTACTTGGACTGGAGTTACTTGCAATGAAGATAAGTCCAGAGTAATAGCCATTCGATTACCAGGGGTTGGATTTCATGGAACCATTCCACCTGATACCATTAGCCGCCTCTCACAGCTTCAAACTTTGAGCCTCAGATCCAATGTGATAACTGGGAACTTTCCTTCTGATTTTTCCAATCTTAAAAACTTATCTTTTCTCTATCTTCAGTTCAACAACTTGTCGGGTCGTTTGCCTGATTTCTCAGCTTGGACGAATCTTACTGTTGTCAATTTATCCAATAACCATTTCAATGGCAGCATTCCTCTCTCCCTTTCCAATTTGTCTGAGCTTGCTGGTTTGAACCTTGCAAACAACTCTCTTTCTGGTGAAATCCCTGATCTCCATTTGCCCAGATTGCAGCTGCTGAATTTGTCTAACAACAATTTGCAGGGAAGTGTTCCTAAATCCCTCAAGAGGTTTCCTGAGTCAGCATTCTTTGGAAATAACATTTCTCTTGCAAGTTCTCCTGCTGTTTCCCCTGTGGAGGCACCGGTTCATGAGCCATCTTCCAAATCTAAGAAAGGTGGAAAGCTCAGTGAAACGGCATTGCTGGGAATTATTGTTGCCGGTGCTGTTCTAGGCCTGGTAGCGTTTGCTTTTTTGATGTTTGTGTGCTGCTCGAGAAGAAGGGATGAAGACGATGATGCCTTCAGAGGGAAGTTGCAGAAGGGAGAAATGTCTCCTGAAAAAGCAGTCTCAAGGAACCAGGATGCAAATAATAAACTGGTTTTCTTTGAGGGATGTAATTATGCCTTTGATTTGGAGGATTTGTTGAGGGCTTCTGCTGAGGTACTGGGAAAGGGAACGTTTGGTACTGCTTACAAGGCAATACTAGAGGATGCAACCGCGGTTGTTGTTAAGAGGTTAAAGGAGGTGGCAGTTGGAAAAAAGGATTTTGAGCAACATATGGAGATTGTAGGAAATCTTAAGCATGAGAATTTGGTTGAGCTTAAGGCATATTATTATTCCAAAGACGAGAAACTGATGGTGTATGATTACTACAGCCAAGGGAGCATCTCTTCTCTGTTGCATGGTATGTACCATTATTTTAGCCCATTGCAATCTTATATGTCTTCCAAATGTTTGGGCACGTAGGATGCTTAAATCAAATACAAATAGAGAGATATGTGCTCATATTTACCATTTTAGATAAAAGCGATGTTCATCATGAAACGGGATCTGTTGCTTCTTCACGTAGCTTGTTAGCTTAGTTGTAGCTACTGGCAAGCATATGTAGCTGCATACATACGAGGCCTTCTTGTACTAATTTTAATTAAAACTACACTGACCATCCTCTTATATATTAAACCTTGAGCATATGTTTACCAAAAAATAAAAAATAAAAACCTTGAGCATATAGTTACATGAGTGGAATAAATTACTTACATATGTTATGTAAGGGAAACTGTGATAGGGTGTATTGCGTATTTGATAAGCTAATGACTGTTAAGCTTCATTTTATTTACAAAGTATGCCTATCCGTGTTAGTATTTCTGTTGTGCTTGCTTGTTATGTTATAATGCTTGATGATTGAAAATATTGGAAGAGAGAGAGAGAGAGAGAGAGAGAGAGAGAGAAGAAATATTAGCTAAATATATATCTGTTAGAAGTGCCATTTTTACACGAGGATGGTTTGAAGAACATTATGCATGCTATGTTCTCCTGGGGGATGATTAGATTTATTTTCCTAAAAATTAATTTTATTACTCAATTGTTTATGATCTTTCTCAGAGAAGTCTAAATGTTGTCTCTTGATGAATCTTCAGTCTTACTCCGAATCCAACCATGACATTTGAATGGGCACTCAGTATTAACTTTGAAGTTTGAAATGTAGTTTTTGGCTTCCATGTTAGTGTTTTCAGCAACATTGGGATCATTTACATTTTTAGATAATATCATCCGTTCTTAAGCTATAAAATTATTTGCTTTCCTCCTGAGTGCGGATTATCTGATGTCCGATACTGGAGTGCTTGTACGACTCTAACGCCTCCAAGATAAAAATCTTTGAATTCCACACTCTTGCCTAGAGTACATTGTACACAACATTTGTTGTTTAGCTAGAGATGTCAAGGTTCAAATTTTGCAAATAAATAATCAATTAAAAACAAATTGTATTGAAAATGTCATTTTAGTACATTCTACACCTTAGGCAACCACATCTACATTCTGTCCTTCTGTGTAAAAAAATATTCTTTCTGAGAATTTCAGGTAAAAGAGGAGAAGATAGGGTGGCTTTAGATTGGGATACTCGGCTGAGAATAGCTTTAGGAGCTGCAAGAGGCATTGCTCGTATCCATGTTGAGAATGGTGGGAAGCTTGTACATGGCAATATTAAGTCCTCAAATATCTTTCTCAATACTAAACAGTATGGTTGTGTATCTGACCTTGGCCTTGCAACCATAATGAGCTCGCTTGCCATACCCATCTCACGAGCTGCTGGTTACCGTGCACCTGAAGTTACAGACACAAGGAAAGCAGCACAACCTTCAGATGTTTACAGCTTTGGTGTGGTGTTACTAGAGCTTCTGACAGGGAAATCCCCTATCCACACAACTGGTGGTGATGAAATCATCCACCTAGTGAGGTGGGTTCATTCAGTTGTGCGTGAGGAGTGGACAGCTGAAGTGTTTGACTTGGAGCTTATGAGATTTCCAAACATAGAAGAAGAGATGGTGGAAATGTTACAGATAGCCATGTCATGCGTGGTAAGGATGCCTGATCAGAGACCTAAGATGTCTGAAGTCGTGAAGATGATAGAAAATGTGAGGCAAATTGATACAGAGACTCCTCAGCCATCATCTGAGAACCAAGCAGAACCTAAATTACCTCAACATGACAGTGACAACTCCCCTTCTACTCCCTCCCCCTTCCCAAAAGGAAGTGAATGAAAGAAAGCCATTGCCTTTATTTGATTTGAGTGTATCTGTTATTGTTTTGCTCATTGTTCTGAACAACAGCATGATTATTATTTATTATGATTACTATTTTTTCTCTGTGTAAGTTGCCTGAGTTGGTTAAATATTGACTGGTCGACTAATTTTGGCGCTGGTCTTTCAGCATGCATAAGAGAACATATCCTTATTACTTGACCCTGCGTAAATGGAAGCACCGTGAATTGGTGCAACAATCAGGTGGTTTATTACCTTGCTAGCCTGATGTGAAACATTTCGGTTAATTGAGATTATATATTGGGTTTAGTTTATCTCATGTTACAGAAGATAAAAGTATTTTCTACACATACATAAAAATGTGTTAGATTCATATTTTTTTCTCTTAACATGGCCCGACACGAGCTTCAGACACTTTTACTTATGTATAGAAGATAATTTTATCTCCTATAATATAACACGAGACACATTAAATCATTATTTGTGAGGTATTTTTAATTTTAGCAACAAGATGGACCTTTTTCCCTTGGTGGAAGACCTATCAATGTGCTATGAACTTTTCAGTGTTGTAGGCTTGTTTAAATGGTTCATTCCGAATTTAACAGGAGAACTTTTTATTATTATTTAAAAAAAAAATGTAACATCAGCAGGCAGCCTAAATGGAAAAATAGTGATTTTGTCATTTTGAGAGGTCTAAGAAAAACGGAATAATGGTTCAGCCCCCAATTCCATAAGAAAAGGAAAAGCAAAGCGAAGTCAATCCCAAAAATATGTTTTTTATATGTATATAAAATTATTAGTATATATATTCAAGAGTTAAAGTTTTAATGAAAAAGTTCATGCAGTAAAGGAAAATTATCAATTTGATTATTGAGCATTAATCTGTGAATAATCATATGAAAATAAGACGTGAGACTTCCATTTTATCATTCTCTGTAAGATAAGAAATTTAAGATGAATATGAAAATATAATAGGACAAACGATTACAAAAACAATTAACACGTAGCACGAGGAAAAAATGTTTTGAGCCCTTGACTTTTCAGACGTCTTGAAAAAATGTTCGGCGGAATCACGAGACACGCGTAAATTATATTATTTTATATTTAGATTCGCTTTTCTTACGGCGATTATAATTTGGTCCTTTCATATAACATAACTTATTTCATGTTCTCTCACTTCAATTTTTGCAACCCACCTTTTTTCTTTCTTTTTTCTTGTAATGGTGGTTGGTGGGACCCATTTATTCTCTCTCTACGACGTAAGATAACTATCTTATGTGAAAGTAGATTAATAAAATCCTTATAATTTATTTCAGAATTATAATAATTTTTTTTATTATAATTTTTTAATTTTTAATCCAAAATAATATATTTTTGAGAACAAACATAAATAACTTATTTACATTCACTGTAAAAACATTAAAGTTTTTATATTTTTATATACTATATTTTATTAAGAGATAAAAAAATATATTATACTTAATCTTTTTTAATCTAAACGAACTTTTTAGATATGATTTTTGTACTCTTAACGTCATTAATAGTTATAGTTTTGGATTTTTATTATTAATTTTGAGACATTAAAAAATCAAATAAAATCTTTAGGCGATGCCTTAAAACCAATAATAAATGTATTTAAGATTTAATTTCATCCACTAATAAATTAGTTGATGGTGATATTAGAGAAAAATATTATCTCTAATAAACTTGTTTGTAGTTGCTCAGAAAACTTGTTTACATTTAAATAAATTAAAATGTAATATATAGTTTTTTAAACAATATTTTTTAAAATAAAAATAATACAATTTGAACATCCTTATTCTTTAACCTGTACTTAAACAGCAGATCATCTCAACCATTAAAATGTTTTATTATATAATAATACATATATTATTAAATGCATACTTACTAATTAGCTTATTCATTGTTTTAAAATTGGATTCGACTTACATGACAAGATCATTTTTTTACACACACAAATTAAGTGTGGATTCCACGCTTAAAAAAAAAAGTTAAATTAAAATCAAGATACGACATCATATCCTCAAAATACGTTGCCGAATCCTTGTTACAGAAATAAAGAGTATCGTTTCTGCAACATGATTCTTATATGCCCAACTTGAACGAGGGAAATTTGTATGGGTCCGTGCTGCCTACTACTTTTCCCCTGCTTGTGATTAGTCAAGTCAAAATTGACTTGAGTTAAACCTAAAAAGCTGTGATTTGATAAATTTTATAAAATAATATGAAAAAAATATTTTATGAAATTAAAACATGACTTTGACGCTGCTGACTTAAATTAAAAAAAGAAAAGAAAAGGGGATAACGGATTATTCTGATATGGGCGAAACGGCGTTAAAAGAGTTCATCGGAGATCAAATAATTAAAACAAGGAATACGTGTTATTCATCTCTCATGTTACACTCACATAAAAAGATGTGTTTTCTTTTTTCTATTTTATAAAATTGATAGCTCTCATTTTATCTGTCTCACAAAAGATAACTTCTCGAGAGCAAGAGAAGTGAAACACTTAAAACAATGATCAAAACAAATAATATATTACCAATGCTTAAGGTAAGCTTTTGCGCTTTCACGAATCTCGACTCTAACAATTTCTCATGGGAGAGATTGACGCACTGTGATTTTGCCGATGGTGTAGTATCAGAAATGCTCACTGACCCTCCTTTTTCTCCTGCATGTTGGATTGATCAAAGAAACAGAAGCTGATTTTGATAATAGCGAGGCTGTATCGAAGGGAACAAGGCTCATCATAGGGAAATAATCAAAGTGCTCTCTCTTGGGATTTATACACCAAGAGGTAATTTTAAGTGTTTTATATTCTCTATTTTTTGTTGGTTGCTGATATGCTATTGGCTTTGTAATAATGATTGAAAGTTTACTTTGGTTGCTAGATAGAAATCCCTGCCATAAACCCAATACGTGCTATTTCCTTGCCTTGTGTGGGTTGAGGGGTTATGAGTGCCCACTGTTAAGCTGACATTTTTAGGTGGAATATTGAGATGGAAAATTCCTTCATTGCATGATATTAAGTGTACGGTGGTGCTTTCAAATTGCTGAGATATAATTATTTGAAGTTTGCTATGATGTGGGGATAGTACCCATGAGAATCACTATGTCAAGGGACTATAAGTATTTGTTGGGGCAATGCCTTAAATTACATACCCACATATCATGATGGTTTCACTCAATAAAACGAAATAAACTTGTAAAAAGGGAGAAGCACATGCTGGTCTGAATGAGTTCGCGAAAATTCCCAGGTTTTGACTTTTGAATAACCCACGGAATGTGATTTTAAGATGTTGTTAAAGTTAAATACCAATTTTTCAAGATATATTCATGAGGTTTCTTTCAAGTAGAGAGTGTGAACTTGTTTAATGAATATGTCAGTTTCGAGAGAACCATATTGAGTATTACATGATGATACGGTTTTTATGAATCTCTTTGTGCAAGCAGAGCTTGCCATGTCATCATGACATATTTTATTGCAGGGTTATTGAGCAAGCTGAGCTTGCAAAAAGGGAACTTATGTTGTCAGACATGATTTAAATACTGCTATGATGTATATCGTGCTATGGTGTATATTGCATTAAGCAAGCGGAGCTTGCCATATAGATTGAGTTTTAATGCAGCACCAGTTATTCTATTTAGCAAGCAGAGCTTGCCATACAGATTTAGTTTAATGTATTGTAAATTATCATTTAGCAAGCATAGCAGTTTACAGCAGTATATAATATCATATTGTTTATGATCAGTGCATGACAGATCTGATACAGGGAGGATGACCCCGCAGAGTCTTACAATAATTATGCCTTGCTGGTATTTAGCGTAGCCTATAATACTAACATAAATCATGCTTATTTTGATTATTGAGTAATAAGGCTAATTGAATCACTATAATGTTCAATCTATTCATGGCAGATATTTGGTGTACATTCTCAACCTCTAATGCTGCTGTAGACCCTATGGTTGATGCATTGGCTAGAGTGGCGGATACCCTTAGGGACCAGACTGCAGCCACTCACTTGTTTATGGAGCAAGTGCGAGAGCAACTCAATAATCAGAATACTGCTCCTAACAAAGGAGTTGGGGTTGATGCCAAGTCATTGAAGAAAGCATGAAAGAGGCTGCGGCAGATAAAGAGAAGAATCAATGGTGGAAGTGGAAGAGGGATGATGGTAGGCCTAAAAGCAAGCAGTTTCAGGCTCAGTTCAGGAAAGATAAAAACAGGTTCGGACAGGTAACTGGTTCTCCAGATGTCCAAAGTGTGGGAAGAGACACACCGATGAGTGGCTGGCTGGCCAAAGAGTCTGCTACAAATGTTGTAAACCAGGTCATATGGTACAACAGTGTCCTCTGACGGTGGGACAATGTCCTGACACCAGGACACAGACTAGAGGAAGGGTCTTGACCCTTATTGGCCAAGAAGCGGTCTAGGCTCAAAACATGGTTCAAGGTATGAGTTTAATTCAGGATTCTCTTTTAACTATACTCTGATTTTGGTGCCTCTCATTCTTTCATTTTTGTATCTTGTGCTCAAGACTTGAAACTACCCATATTAGTTTTGCCTTATGATTTGTCTGTTTCAGTTCCCACAGGGGAAAAAGTTTTGACATGCCAAGTTTGTTTAAAATGCCCTCTTCAAATTGAAAACAGATTGTTTGAAATTGAAACAACCCACAGAATCAGGCAACACACAGAATTAGGCATAGTTTATCAGATCTATCCAGTTAAGCCCACAAAATTGGGTTCAGATTCTTTCAGTTAAGCCTACAAATTTGGGTACAGTAATTCATATTTAATTAGTTAAACCCACAGAACTGGGTAAGTTTTATTGATTGTATATGACTGATGCCAAACAGTTTGACTATCTGATAATAAAGTAGCATTGTCCTTAGAGTTTTGGGCTCCAGTAAAACAGATTGAGTGACATAAACTGATATGGCTTATGCTACTATAACATGAAAAGTATTTTACTCAGATCTACAGTTCAATGTATGTATATGCATTCTATATGCTGAAAGTTTATGTAGTATTTCTAACGAGGGGTGAATCTTCCGTGTAGTCATGGCTGGGTGAGGTTATAATTAGAAACTATCAAAGGTTTATTTCTCATCTGTCTGTTTATGTGATCATCCAGGTAGGTAGACCTGAGATTGTAGAGATGACATGGTTCGTGCTTCTCATTGCAGACTGCTTTTTCCACTTCAGTTTCCAATGCCACCGTGTGGTCGCTTATATTTTCAGACATGGTATGTAGTCATGTTGGAGCACCACTTTTTGGGAGTTCACCTTAATTATCATCTATACTTCCTTCTTGTGATGCATATATGTAAATAGCTGTAACAAGTGATGGCAAAAGATGACTCTTTTGGGTATGTAACCATTTTGAGGCCAGCACAGCCTGGCAACGTTGTAGGCCACATCCTACCTGCTAGGGATCCGACGTGTGACATGTTTTTATTGTATATAGTGTGGATATTTAACTTATAATGTTGCAGAATCTTTTTGACTGTCGTTTTGAGCATTTATTTGCTTCTAGACAGTTAAATGTAGCTTCCTTTTATGCGATAAGGGTGTTATACTTACCTTTATATTCTGATGTGCTTAAAAGCTGAAAATTTATTATATGCTTGTATATATAGTATTGCTAAGTGTTTCCTATCTTATTGACCCTTGTCTTCCTACTTGAGATATTGTATGGATTAATTGTCAGGTTGCTTTCAGGACAAAGGTGTTTCGCCCCAATTTCGACAGCAATGGAAGCATTTGCCTTGACATATTGAAGGAGCGATTGGGCCCTGCACTGACCATGTCAGAGGTTTATTCAGAATGTCTCTTGCTACATATAATGCCTGCGTAGTATTTTAGAGATGATTCCTTTTAGATTTAACTTTCCAGTGACAGTGGGGTTATTAATATTTTTGCAGAATATGATCTAATAACAAAATTGATTGTATAAAATTTCTTGGATTTTTGTTGCCTAGTGATTCCACATCTATCAGGAATTCTATTACTTTCGCTAGATATGCAACTTAAATATTTTAAACAAAATATTTTCTGTTAGGGGAGTTGCTTCATTGTCACTTTGTCAACACTCTATAATATACATTCTGACCTCAAATTGCCTTGTATCGTAATGGCTCAACACAATGCATGCAGAAATTGATAAACGCTGCAGAACGTTAGAAAACAAAATGAGGTAATTTAATATTATGTAGGAAATACCTCTTTTGTTGGAGGAGCAATTTCAAGTCTTATTATTAAGGAAACATCTGCCATGGCTATTATTGGCAATTTGAAACTGTGAAATGTTGCCTGTCTTTGTACCATCCTTTTCATTCTAGTTTGTAAACTTGCAATTACTGGCTTACAAGGGGATACAATTTTTGTTTTTTGTCTTCTCAGGTTTTGCTCTGAAGTTGTTCACTCTTAACAGACCCTCATTCTGATGATCCTTTGGTGCCAGAGATAGCCCACATGTACAAATCTGACAGGAGTAAGTACGAGTCGACTGCAAGAAGCTGGACTCAGAAATACGTTATGGGTTAGTTCAATTCTCTTGGTGATGGGAGGGCTTCGCGTTTAAAATATTTCGTGTCAAATGGAAGTGTGTAACTTATCTACTTAGTAGTATCTGGATTCTGGAGAGCTCCAAATTCTTCCCTCCGAAGAAGAACACATTGTTAAATTGTGTAGGAACATTACCTTTGGATAGAGATCTTCATAGATGTTGAGAATAGTTGGTAAAACTAACGTCTTTATTAAATATGTGGAACTCAAGAAACATGGAAGGAATACATTGAAGAAATAGAGATAGAGACTAAAAGGATACAATTCATTAATCTCGGAAGTCTACAACAAAGACATCCAAAGGTGTATTCAAAGCCCCAGGTTAAATCTTGAAAAGATAATAGTTGAACACTCACATTTCATAACATCCCACATTAAAAAGATTAACAAAATTCTCTAGTCCTTATATATTATCTAAGGTTCTAACGTAGCTTGGATAACTCTTAAAGGTGATTTGCTTAACACGACAAATGGTAGGGGCAAAGTACATCTTTTTTTTTCTGTATCCATCTTGGTTTTTAGGCTTTTAATAACAACGGGTCTCCTATGAGCCTGTGTTTGAAAACCTCTCAAAATATACTATATGATTTTGCAATACAATTTTCAACTTCATGGGTTTGGGGATAGGGTGATGATTTTGAGATGCTTATTGTGCCAAGAAGTTGCTAATGTGAATGATGGTTCAGTCAACGTGCTTATAACTCAATTGACACAGACCATGTTGATACTGGAGGTTCGATCGTTTACTAGGCCACCTTTTCCCCTCCGCACCTCATATGTAATATACTGCAACGCTGGGTTCTGAATCTTCTGATGTCCAAAATTTAGCTTAGGCTCTGGTTGTTTTGTTTTAGCTCTTTGGTTCAATTTCCCCTCAGGTCTTCACAAATCAGCGAAATCACAACCCATGGCCATTTTATGTTACGCTTGATAGCCAAATCACAACTCAGTGCTTTTCTTTTACCCCTGGCCCAGTGAGCATAGCCGTTAGTCAGTGACCGCGAGAGGGGCTTTCTCTCTCCTGACAAAAAGAAAGGGTGTCCCAAAAACCCAAAAAAACAAAAAGGGCTCTCTCTCTGTTTTATCACGCCTTCCAGCTGTGCCTCGCCTGTGAACAATAATAAATAAGAAACTTAACAAGGGGAGACCTCGGAATACAAAATTTGGATTGTAGCAAATGTCCCTATTTGATGATGTGTTGCCATAGAAGTCTAGAACGAAAATAAATTTATTTAACGATAAACTGAATATACAAATTAAGGACGTTCCATAAAAGTTGAGAGCGTGCACTGTGGACTGCGGTAATTCCAACTTCTTTTTTGGGTTTGATATGCAGTAAAAGGAAATTCCAAGTCTTGTGAAAATAATGAAAATGCAGGCAAAGATTGTCTTAATAATTGTGAGTACAGCTACTCTTGGGTAGTGGATCCGGTCAAGCTAGATAGATCATGTTTTCAGTTTTCTATTTATTACTCTGGTCAAAAGCTTCTAACGTCCTGGGTCATGTTAAATCTTTTTTCCTAACTTGTTGAAGAGTCGCAAAGGTGTGTAAATGTTTTCACCAGCCACTGATCAGCTTTTACACATTGCCCTACCAAAAGTGTCCATGCCATCTTGCTGCCCATTACATTTTTGGAATAGATAAAGGAAAAAGTATCGGTATTTTTTAGGATTGGGGTTCAAATCTATTGTTGTCATTTTTTCTGTCTTTTGAATTAAATAATGACAATTTAATAAAAATATCAACTTTTAAATTGCAATACTTTTTTTTGTTAATTATCAGTTTTTTAAATTAATTGTTATCATCCAATTGAAGAGATAAAAATAAAAATCAGATATATATGATTCCGATTTTTAAAGGCTGTAACTTGTGAGATAGACTATGATCGATGCTTAAGAAAATATTAAGTGATGGTATTGATTATTGAATGTTTGAGACAAACTATAATAGATGAGATTATGTATGGGAAAGAAGGATACTTCATAGTAAATGTGCTGAACGTTCAAGCCTTTAATTCCCTTCTGTTACAACTTACTAAGACTCAGTGTAAGGAGGGAGGGAGATTGTTAAGATGTAAGCAAAACAGCTTGTGATTCGTCATCAAAATTTACCAGTCCCCAAAAGAACTTGTTACCACTAGATGAAGTAAAAAATTTATGTTGTGCTTAAAATGATATTCTTTAAAGTAAGGACATTAAATTAGATGGACCGCGTAACTGATTAGTGACTAATCTGAAGTGCAGTGGAGTCATGTGAAAGCTTACAATTTGTCTGACCTAAACGTGGGGAAAGTAGACAGTACAGCTGCTGTTTAAGCAATACTTCAAACTAACACCAAAGAGATGCTGTCCATTTTAAGTAATCCAATCGAGTACAGATGAAACTCAATGTGTGGAATTGAATTCTATTATAGAAAGAAAATATGTTTTCATGCTTAATTTTGAACAGAACCGAGTAGTGCTTACAGATATTGCAATTTGATGTGCAGATGGCAGATGGTGCAGCTTGCGCACATGGTCCAGCAGAAACCAATTAATGGAGAGCTTCTGTTGTTCCACTTAATCTTTCTGCTGCACTAGCTTGTACTCAGTATTTTTTAGCCCAATAGTGTTCTAAGGACATGCATAAAGCTCCAAAACTAATTGGCTGGTAGAATCACGACACATCTAAAACTACTTCCTTCAGGTTAATTAATTAAATGAATTGTGAATTTATTTGATTAATATGTTTATTTACACATTTGAGACAGAAATGAGAAACTTAAGTATAAAACAGAGTTCAACATTAACATGGGTTGGCACAACCAGTTTAAAGTTTCTAGATAAGAGGTCATTTCTTCTCAAGGAAATCCTTCGATGCCTAAGGGTTACGGGTTCATAGCTTTCATGTGGATAAAACTTTTTTTATATTTGGAGAAAACCTTTAAATGAATATTTAAGATGCAATATTCTTTTTAAGTGAACCTCTTTATATTCTTTGAAATTCTAAGCTTGTCATTGTTGTTCTAATCGATAATATGTCCTTATTACCATTTCATTCACCGAAGAAAAAGAAAATTGAAGAGTTCAATATTAAATGTTTGTTTTAACAATTGTGCATGAATATTAATGATTAGCCTAGCCCGATTGTTTCTGTATTTCAGTCTACATACAAATAGTACGGAAAGCAATACGAAGGAAGACTAAAGGGATATTTGTTTGATAAAATAAAAAAATGTTATTATAGTTTTGAAACTAAAGTGAATATAACTATGTATCAAATTATGTCTTTTTCTTTCTGTGACTAAATGTTTGCATCTATGCAAGTGAGTTACTAATTAATATATTAGTACTTCAGTTAACAACTATGCAAGTCTTTAATATTAAGAGTCTAATTCTTTACCAAACTTGTTATCTTTATCTTTTCATTCAGGTATTCAATAATTGTACATCCAAATGTATGACATAAAATAAGAAACAAAAGAAGCGCACTAGTGTCATTTTTTACTTGAGTAACCAATCTCATAAAATAATATATCGATGGTGCGTGGAGAATGGCGACCCTTGTGTAGTGTCATCTTATATGTCCATCAACTCTGTTGTACTTGGACTCCATATTCAGCATTCAGCACGGGTTGTTAATATAAATCCATATTATATACTATATTTTACCGTATCTTTCCCACCGACCCTCCGGCAGAGGAACAGTGCACAACAGATACCTGAAAATCAGGCCTCCTTATCTCTAATTATTAGACTAAGTTAGTCATCAACTTTGAATAAAACCTCCTGAATTATTGTCCCTACATTGAGACAGAGTAAGAATCACATTATGCTGATTGTTCTTACACTGTTGAGTAATGCAATACTTAAGAACAATGGACTAGTGATTAAGGTGAGTGGTCATTATTTGCTTTCTTGCGACATGTATCTGATAGTGTTGACAGCAATCAAGTCGTCTGTGGTTGCCTTTTTCCGTTTAATGCACCTCAACCGTTGCGCACTATCATTATTATGAACAGGTTGGCGAAAAACAAAGCATCTTGAGTATCTATGGGAATACAAGGAATTGTACGAATCCCAGTTATAAACTGATTGGAAGTAAACTTAACACAAAATCGTTAAGGGGATGTTTGGTTGAGGAGAAATTTTTTGAATACTAGGAAAATGTAATTGATAGGGAAATGGTTGGAAAGTGAGTTTGGTAGAAAAATGTAAAAAAATTTATTTGGTTGGAAAAAAAATTAACCGGGTAAATTAGGTAAGATTCAAAGTCTATGTTTGGTTTGAGATAAAATATAGATGAAAAAATAAGTTGCAATTACAAAAATGTCCCTATTTTTAAAATAGCATTCATTTCCATTCTCGACGAAACCCAGAAAGATTCCAGCTGGAGCCATGGCTGAGGGAAGGAAAGACCTTCTTTTCCCTCGTTACTCTACCAACCTAACAACATTTTTACCTAAATTGTTGCCTCTTAATTCCAAAAAAAAAAAGGAGAAAAGAGAAAAGAGAAAAGGGGAAAAGCAGAAAAAAAGAAGAACGAATTATAAGGAGGCAAGAAATGATGGAAGGAGCGGAGCACGAATGGAACACCCACTGATTCAAATAAGAACGTGAAGGCAACACTGTGTCTTTACAGCTAAGGAAAAAAAAAAGGGTTCTGGGTATTTCTTCTATTACTCTCAGAGTCGCTTTTTGGGATCGAGGGTGGTGGAGGAAGATCGGAGCAAGGCGGCGTTTGGCTCTGACGATGTGCATGTATGATGATGAGGATATTATGGTCTGATGCCATTTTCCCAATCCTTCATGATGTTGTGGGGCCATGTGGTTTAGCCGGTTATCAAAGCAAAAACCACCTCCAACAATGCTTTCTAAACAGTGCCAAAGTCTAGCATTCTTTCACAAAATTGAAAATGTTATGCATCATGGTTGTCTGGGGAATCAGCCAAATCTCTGTCTACTAAACAAGTGCAAAGCAGATTGCCAACTTCATTTGCATGGGGTAATTTGAAAACCCCCTCAACCAAACACCACCTAAGAGAAACCTGAATATGTGCAACATGTTTAGGTTCACCGAACATTCCTATACAAATTTGGCGCACTATCTTTAATTTTTTGTTTTACTAATCTTAATTTTTTTTTTAGGCAAGTTATACTTTATGTATCCTCGTAAATTTTAACTCTTTGAGTCAGAAGACTAATTAGAGTCATTTATTTTGTGGAAATTGAATCCAAGTTTTCTACTGATTTACTCAATCTATGT